ACTGGCTGGGTTTGTAGAAGTTTTGTAGAAGTATGAGGCCTACAAAGTTATAAGTCTGTCTTGGACTTGTGGTAGCTTTGGTAGGGGTATACAGCTTACAGTGTGCTGAGTCTACCGAAGTTCTATAGGGAAATTGGACAGAGTATACAGGTTAAAGTATGCTGGATATTGACTGGGTCTGTACAAAATTTGATAGGAGTATGCTGCCTACAGGATTCTAGTGACTGTAGTTTTTGACCAGAAGTTTGTAACACATAACACATCACAAAGTTCCAAACCAATTTCAGGTTCGGTAACAGGTGATGTATCCTGTTGTGAATCTATTTGCGTTACCTGGTGCTTGGGCCAAAGACACCGACAAGGCTTATCCGCATGTGTTGCCCTTTTTACAGAGTTAAATAAGTTCACAGTGACGGTTGTCAGGCCATAATAAACATCATTCAGCTGGACTTATGGACCGAATCTCAAATACTATATCAATTCAACCTTAAGTTCAGGCCGTTAGAGTGTTATGCGTTACGCGGTCCCAAGTTTATTTGGAAAGAGGTCTGCTGACTGCTGTGACACGTTACCGTAGTTCGGCCTGGGCCAACCAACCTGTGGGAAAGCCTTGCTATAGCTATGTTTTGGAGCTTTGAAATGACAAGAGTTCTTTGTGAGCAAGTTGGCGGAATTATCCTTGCCGCTAATGTACGTGACATCTACAAAACCTCATAAAATGACCTCATAGATATAATGATACTGGATATCAATGTGCTTTGAGTGTTTCTCAGTGATAGAGTTAGACGTGATGAATACAGTGCCTTGGTTGTCACTTGAGATCTCGATTGCTCCAAGATCATAACTGGTCTCACCAAAGAGCTGCTGAATCCACGCTACTTGATAAGAGCAATTGCTCAACACCATGTACTCAGCCTCCGTAGAGGAGTGCACAACTGTTTTCTGTGTGTGTGAAACCCAGAAGAACGAAGCACGAGCGAGTGATGGGAAATATCCAGTCTGTGATCGCTGGTGGCTTGGGTCAGAAGCCCAATCTGAGTTTGTCATAGCAAAGACGCCTTCACCTAATCTGCTATCAAATACAAGACAGTAATCCTTAGTGCTAACTGGATAGCAGCAAACATGGAGAGCTTTATCAAGATGCTCATCAGACGAGTTTGCAGCTTGTTGCAACAGTTTTGGGATGGTGAATACAATATCAGAATGTGTACCCAGCATGAAGTATATCAGTGACCCAATGACAGTCTAGAACCGGTGCCACAGAACTTTGTCTACTAGATCTTCATTTGGCAACCAGTAATATTCAGAGGGAAGAGGAGTGTCAACAGGTAGAGTGTTATTGAGCCCAACACGGTCAAGCACCTTCTCGAGGTAAGCAACTTGGTCTATCATAACCACATATGCCTGCCGAGTAATTCACATCTATAAGAATTCCTTTGCATCGCCAAGATCTCTACATTCCCATTTTTTGGCAAATACATTCTTGAACCGTTCTGCGAGTTTGCAGTCAATGCTGCAGAATAAGGCATCATCAACGTAGACTATGGTGATACAAGTTGAGCCTGTCTTTGTGTCAGTATAGATGCAAATTTCTTTATCAGAGTGCAGGTGTTTAAAGCCCAGCTTCTCTATGGATTTGGTCATGGTTTTCCACCATTTGAGTCCAGCCTGTTTTAGGCCATAGAGTGCACGTCTCAGTCGAATGACGAGATGCTCCTTGCTAGGGATTCTAAACCCTTGCGGCTGCTCTATGTAAATCTCCTTGTCGAGTTCAGCATACAAGTAAGCGTTGCAAACATTAAGATCTAGGATATGCATGTTTTCGAGTGCACAAAGCCCGAGGATGAGTCTTAGAGACTCGAATCATGCAATGGGTAAAAAGACTTGGTCAAAGTCAATGCCTTTGACCTGAGAGAAGCCCTTGGTAACAAGTCACACCTTTATATGACTGTCAGGCTTTTCGTCAAACACCCACCGGTTATGTAAAAACATGGTAGTTTGTTGGTCTGTGGATGTACTCGAAAGTACCATGCTTGCAATGAGCTCTCATCTCATCATACATAGTGGCTTTGATCTTCTCCTGAGCTACCTTAGACAGCTTCTGTATATCCCGCCATGTCAATTCATGTTAGTTCTTAATGTCTGTTGGCTGAGCCTCATCTAGAATTGCCTTAGTAACCAGGTAATTCATCAGCTTAACTCCTCCTTCCCACATAGCTGTGCCAGATAAACCTCATCAGCTTTTGGATCCTCGATAGAGTCGCGAGAAGGAGGTGGTGTAGAACTACGTTTGGAAATTTGTTCGGTGCCCTTAGGCATTCTGGGAGCTTGGGTGCCTGGCTTGGGCATCAGCTCATTGTCTCCAGAAGCTTTCCTCCAATCTGTGTGAGTATTACGTTGGGTATGGGTGGGCAGAGTGTCTCTATATATACTCCCAGGCTGTTTTGTTTGTGTCCGCTGCCGCTTTCCATGTCCCAGCTCCTCTACTGGAGGAGGTGTGGGTCTCCTAGGCAGTAGCAGCGGACTCGGACTACTTTATCAAGACAAAGCACGTAAGTGTCTGTGAGTTCTGACTGTTGTCTAAACTATCCAGCCTCCTGTGGGAAGGTTTGTTGGGAGGATGTAATGGAAAATCATTGTTATCATCATCAACCAGTGGTAGAGAAGAGACTTCTGAGGACTTCTTCCGCTTTGGGACTGGCAATGAGGCTGGCAGAGGGTACCAAGCCATCTGCTCCTTATCACAAGGAAACAGCTTCTCATCAAAGATTGCCTGAGTGGATGTGGAGAGCACGTTATTTGGGAGGCGCATAGACAACCAATTATTAGGGTTGCCGGGAGCGACACCTAAGTAGATTATCAACTCCGCTTCTAGTGACTGGGTGTTTTTGCATATTCTCTTAGGAATGTATACATATGCACCACAGCCAAAGCCCTGCAGCTTACTTATCCACAGAGCCTGACCAAAGAGCATCTCGTACGGCGTCAACTATTCAAGGTGGCGTACAGGTGTCCTATTGCATAGATGGACAGTGTGCTGGTTAGAGACACGGGGGGCAAGGACCACAGCCGTCTGAACAAAGCTGTTCAAGAGGCCGTTCAGCTGGCCATTTGTCTGCTGTTCACACAGATACCTCCAGCCGTGTGCATATATATCCCATTGCGTGGCAAGCAGTTCATCCTTTCTCGTTTTGTTTGCAGTCAAAAGTCCTTGACTAGATAGGTTTGTATACACCTTCATTATTTAGCACCACTACATTGGATGGCTATCTTGGAGTACGGAAGGTTCTGAGCCCTAGATATCAGTCGCTTTCACTCAAAAGGACTACCTACATGGGTGGACATACGACTTTGGTGCTGCCTCACAGCTATATGACAGCACATGGCAATGGCAAGTCACGGGCCACATGTGTGGTTGGTTAGCTGGTCATTTGAGATCCAAACACAATATTTAAATATACAATAGGAAGGCTGTATACTGCACTGTCCTTAGGGATAGTAGTCCAGCATCACTAACTTTGTGAATATGAGATAACCGTGCGGACTGCAAGTTTATGGGATTCACCGATATCCTGAGAATCTTTTGGCAACAACGTCATGCAAAGTATAGTAGGATTGGTTGATGCAAGTGGCCACACAAACAGCAGGCAAGCAGCCAGCTGAACGGCAGTTGAACGGCCTCTTGAACGGCTTTGTTTGAATGGCTGTGGTCCTTGCCCCCGTGAGAATTCCCACCAAGAAGGAGGGCAACGAGCTTGAAATCACAGAGTCTCTTCCTTCTCTGATATAGTGCATATAAATTGCTCTGTACAACCATTCTGCTAGTGAGCGGGCAGAGCACCAGTGATTGCCTCAATGCCCTTGTCACGGAGCATCTACAAGAACTTGTTTGCTACAAGATTGAGATTCCCAATCAGTTTGCCTCCTTGATCGGAGTACCAGCTTTGCACTTTGGCCTTGAATTTACTCTCAACTATAGAAAGGAAGTCTTTGGCGGTGTTAAGCGCATCTGACTTCCTTTTCAGAAGTGTAACCCATGCATAGGACATATGATCGTCGACAAAGACTATGGCATGCTTGAATTTATCATATGGCAGAGTTGAGAACTCTTTCAAGTTGGAATGAATGAGGTCGAACATATTGTCAGTGCGCTCTTTGCGGGCAGGAAATTCTTGTGCAGGTGTTTTATCCTTTGCGCATCCACTGCACACTGGGTTGTTGTCTGGGATGTTTATGTCCTCAGGGAAGCCAACAGTGTTCTTGTGCATTTGATGTAGAACATCGCACACAGTATGTCCCATATGGCAGTGCATGGTTTTATAGTCTAATGCATAGACCAGCTCATATTGAATGCTCTTAGTATAAGCAGACAAGGTGGGTAGAATGTAGTAATTCGGCCTAATAGGATCTGCGTCAAAGTGCAAGTAGATCTTCCCATTGCATATAGGCCATATCTGGGTGGCATTACCCTCAACAGTCATGCCTTGGTGCAGGAATTGACCGAGAGATAGTAGATGATCTGCGAGTCCTGGAACATGTCTAACCAGACCAACACAGACAGTTATAGAATGACCGTGAGAGTCCTATATGGAGAGCAAGATGGTACCCCATGCAATGATAGAGGAGTGACCACTATTTGCAGTTGTAATTGTGTGTAGCTCATGAATCTTTACATAGACAATAAAGTTGCTGGCATTAGGTGTGAAGTGTGATGTGCAATCTGAGTCAAACAACTACGAGTCGGAATGTGCATGGTTGTGTGCGTGTGCAGCTTTGTCTTTTCTTTTGCAAGAAGTACAAGCACTATATTTCAAACTATATGTACACAGGTATGCAGTCAAGTCCAGATCATTACAACCATATATGGAGCTATTGGGTGCCCTATACACCGCTTCCAAATCAACAGATGTGATAGAATCAGTGAATGCTGCAGTTGTAGTGTAAGCTTGGTTGCAAAGAAAAGTGGGACTGCCATACACTTTGCCTTTGCCCTTGCGGGACTAGAAGCCCGCAGACTGCGTGATCTCGTCGTCCAAGTCCATCTCCTTGCCAAAGGATGTTCTATCAGACATGTAGCCCTCAATGAACTCTTCTTCAATGAAGTTGTTGTCCTCAAAGTACCAAAGGAGGGTAGGCGTAGTACGATGGTGCTTGTTAACACGTGTATCTTTGATCTCTTTGTCGTTGCGGTCCTCAGTGCTGTAGGGTTCCTCATTGGAGAGGATATCATATACATCTAGAGTAACCTCACAGATGGATGCCTCAAGATGATTGATAGCACCATCTGGGATGCAAAGAGTTTCAGCGGTCCCAGAGACACCGAGTTGCTCTGCAAGCTTGACGGTCTTAGAGAGGATAGGATGGGAAGTGGTCTTCGAAGGCTTGTGAAGCGGTCCAGAAGAATACATACTCTTGAGAGAGAGACAAGGCTCCTCAGGGTTGTTTGCGGTGTTGAAGACACACAGCTCCGGGATGGTGTCACCGCCAACATGGACGTCTTTTAGTGAGTCGAAAAGCCCACAAAAATGCGAAATAAACTTACATGTTTTATTGGGGGTTTACAATTCGAAAACGATTTAAAAATTGGTTTTTATTTAATGATAACTTGTGTTATCAGAAGGGTATCCCTTTTTTATCCCTTTGTTATCTGATGAAAGGAATCCTTTATGCCAACTATTTTGTGCGGACAAAGGTATATCCTTTGTCAAACATTTATAGAAGCGCCCTTTTATCCCGTACAAAGTATAAACCATTTCCATGACAAAGGCAATAGAGAAAATATTATCACTTCTGAACCTCGGCTTCACCAGAGCCCACCAATGACGATGTGCATAGGGCCAGACTGCACAACCGACATGTTCTGTAAGCCCGTGTCTCAGCGAAATTGACGAATAGGGGAAGACGAGGAATACCATAGGCTGTACACTGACATAGTCAGGCGAATTCATTCTCTCCATCCCACCACGGATTTGACGGCCGAGCTCCGTCTCAAATTTAAGACCTGCACTCGGAGTGAGCTCATAGCACAGACGACTCGTGCACAAGACTTACCGCAAGACAATTCATCGCCCACGGGGCCAAGCCATATCACGGACCCCTCCGGTAGGTCACTTCGACCGCGCACGGGTACCCGAACTCCATTGACCTACTATACGTGAGCCAAATAGACAGTGTGCGAGGAGTGCAGATTCCTTACCCAAGTGCCATACGTAGACCGATCTTCGATTGTTGCAGTATGTGTGAGGCCATCCCAGGAGATGATTGCGTGACGGGGATCTATCGCGACCGTAGGTGAAGTTCAGATCCGTATCTCGACAGCGAGCCACGTACCGACAAGAACCTTGGAAGAATGGATCTTCACTGCAAGAGAGCGAGATTTGCCGCGCCCAACCAGGTGATCACCATGCTCTAGCCTCATGCCACTGCATTCGGCTGAGTCGAGGCTGTCGGCGCGAAGGGGTCGAACATAAGCAGGAAGGATAGTAAGAAGTTCGCTGTGCGAAGAAGATAGAGTCATCGACATGGCGCCGTCGCGGTGAGGGAAGGGAACGAACGGAGATCTTGGGCACGCAAGCAGCTTTTGATGAGCAACGGCAGTTACAGCAGCAGCCACTAGCCTCAAAGGGCCTAGCCATACACTCCCGGTTCTATCTGCCAGAGAGTACCGTGCTAGCGCATAGATTGGAATGCGACAGGCCGACAGTTCACACGCAAGACCAACATGAGGCAGGCACGAGCAATCATAGACTATGTATCAGTGACGAAGGTCGCAGCGGAGAACCGTTGAGGGTGGGCTGAGAGCGTTGCGTATACGTAGAGTTTGACAGACTGTGTTACAAGTGGGGATGACGGTACGAGGCAAACTTCGCAGCTCCCAGTTCGCTATGCCAAGCCCACGTTGAGAGATCATTCCGGTCCGGGGTCGGGCCCAGTACGCGCGCTGAAGCCGCATAGGCAGCGAGTTGTCGCACGCCATCGTGACGCCCGCCACTGTGCGCCTTCGGTCTTCGATCTCTATTGGCGCAGGCCTGTCATACTTCATAGCCGAGCCCATTACTACCGACACGAAGTATCGCTATCATTTCCTTATCGGTTCTTTGCCAGTCAAGCTTCCATCGACGCTTTGCCGGTGCAGCTGTATCCGCTCACCACGAGCTGGTTTGTGTTGCATGCTGGTTTTGTCTTTCCGCTTGTGGCTACATGGATGCTGCTGCATCAGATATGTCACGTCGAGATTGCAACATGCGTGTAAACCGCATGTCTCTGATATCCGGGCATTATATGTACTAACCCTCGGGAGGGCAGACAGCCCTTCGTAACCTAAATCCAAGAGCCGCCTCGAGGTACTCTCATCTTGTATGTCTTCTCGTACTCTCATCGCGTCTCCTCTGTCTCTCTCTCCGGATCTTACAGCCGTGGTCATGTCTGGTTCACCCGATGGCAATGTTTGGTCCCTATCGCGAGAGCTGGAGGTCAGCCCCAATTGACCTGTGTGTCTGTTATGCAACCGACTGACGATTTGCTAGGCCATTGAACTCAAGCATGATGCAATTCTACGACAAGCGCGTGTCCTGAACGATGCATCTGCGCCTCTTGCTTTTCTCCAAGCTCTCTACGGCGCCGGTTGTGGTATTGGCCACCTGGCTGAGCGCATCTCTTTCCAAGACATCGTTCGACTCTGGGAACTGCTGCGTCTGCGCCGTCAGACCGGCCGCTTACTGTTGTCATCCACGCTCACCATGTCGCCCATCGAGGCCGATACCGTTCAAGTCAAACTACAGAACGGGACACTCGTCATCTGCGCACAGTACGGGCGGTCCTCGGATCACTCTGCGAGGGTGTTCTACGTCTTTCCACGCCTACCGTCTGGAGACGTCGATCTGGATCTGTACAACATGACACCCACTTTCATAAGACCTGCTGTTCAACGTTTCGCGTTCTCCGGCTCTGAGAGCCTCATCGCGACTCTCGAGGTACGCCCGCAGATAGTTGCTATCAATTCTTTCATTGAAGTATTCATAGAACGAGTCATCATCTTACGCAATATATCTGATGTACCACGCGGCACTTCCTCGCTCTCGACTTCCCATTCCTGCTGCATGGAGAGTGGGACAAGCAGATGTCCGCTCCGATATGTGCCGCCTCTACCTCCTATACTCCCTTCTCGCCCTGTTTCTTACCAATCCCGCGCGCCTCATCATCTGGAACTGGAAAACAGGCGTGGTTCTCCTCGTGAGCGTGATGGCTTCCACATCCACTTCGCAGCTAACAATAACACTTTACAGGTCGCCCAGGATCATGAACTAGGCCACGTCATAGGCTTCGCCTTTCTCACTTCGCAATCATTCATGCTTGTTCGGAACGACGGCATCTCCGTGTACTGTGTTCCTGAGTCGCCGGCCCCTCTCTCACAACTTGAATGCTCCTGGCTTGGACTTCCGATACTTCACGAAAGTGCCGAAGTCTGCTCTGTGAAGCTACATACTTCTGAGGGAGACCCTGGTACTCGTTCCGAAATTACGCTGCGAGAGCGCATGTGTGTTCTGATGGTTACGGTCACGAACGTTGAAACCCATGAGACGCGCGAGATCGTCATATTCGCGAAATCGGCCTCTATTCTCGATGCATGTCGTCACATGCCTCAGTCTCGCGAGCGGGTATGGGACGATTGGGGACCTCAATATTGCCGTGCGCTTCATCTTGAAGGCTACTTGCGTCTCTCGGTCGGGTATGTCACATTACTCGTTTGACGATGCTGGGTTTTCACAATGCTACACAGCGGTGTCAGAGGCTTACGTGCTGTACTTCAGCAATGGCTTTTCCCACCTGGGTCGACATACGACGAAGCGGTGGATGCGCGCCTGATCATATTTGATTTCGGCGATGTACAAAGTCTCTCGGGCATAGAGGACATTCTTCCTGGGACCGCGGGTGCCAACCGTGGCGCCGTCCGTAGAGCGTCAAGCTTGGAGTTACCTGGTCTCTTCAAGAACACCGTCACTATGCAAGTTGCCTTTGCGTACGTCATAACGGATCCTACACGCTACTACGGGATCCACACCTGCCCGAATGAGGTGCTACTAGATGATCGCCGGCTGGTGAAAGTATTCTCGACTTATGACGAAATGCAGCAAGCAGTGAGTGCACGTGTTAATTGTTGGAATCATGGGACACTGACGACGCCGATTCGGCAGGTCGAATTGGAAGTCTTTGATGCGTAGAGTCAGCCCCGTGTACCTACTCGTATCATCTATATCATGTAACTTCCTCCTCTAACTCCATCATGTACTATACACATAGGCGAAAAGTGGTTGCCTGATGCGGCGAAGGTCATTGCAATGAATGTACTCGTAGCCTTCGAACTTCGGCATTGGAATAGCGTACTGAATTCAAGGTGGATTGGTTCCTTTGTTGTACAACATCCGGGCTTCAACGCGCACAGTATATACAAATGGAAGCGAATCATGAAGGAGCGAAGT